ATCTAGAAGTTTGAGTTGAGTGTGTTTCTGTTGTGGAATAAACTGAGTAGTCAGCATTTAAAACTTTCATGTGCTCGTGTTCCATTGGAGACAGATTATTTTTATTACACCTGTAGAGAATTAGTGGAAAGCTATGAACTTGGCTTCCATCAGCCAGGCATAACTTAAGTTTCAAATGAAGTGATATCTTCTTGGTAATCCAAACCCCAGTCAACCAGTACTGCAATCAGGAATGCTACCACTGATGAGTATTATTAGATACAAAGTTATGACAACGAATTCTTGATGACTATTTCCGACTACATAATAATAATAATTCAAAGTGGCCCGCGATGGTGCACCTGCATATTTCAAGCTTGACTAATAGAATACAGACATCGCTAACACTAAACACCAGAAACATTCCATTGGTTGCTCCCCAGGTTCCGAGAAATTCAGAGGCCAATTATTTAGCTCCAACAGAATAAACGAAAAGAAAACACAAAATATGATACAGTAGCAATCATAAAGGGTTGTATGTATTTATATGATTTAAGGTAATAGTTCTAATAATGCATAAGAGATAGTACATATGTTTTCTTAAACAATAATGCCCAGATTGTGTTTTTAAAAGTAACAGATGGTATGATCTCGATTTTTACCACTCAAAGTTTTGACAATTATTTTCTATCATGTTACTTGATCAGTGTTGGCTGAGACCTTGGACGTGCGTTTAGTCTTAATTGTGACTCGGCAGCGGGAGGCACTTTCTTACCTTGCAGTGAATGATAGGTTTCTGACTGAGACTCGAACCCAACACCAACTGATTCAAACCCAAATGCATTCCCGCAGCGTCCACACAGACAGCCAGCTTGTCAATACGAACCACTCAACGAGCATTACAAGACAATTTCAACAATTAATAATTTCAATCATATCTGACTGTGGTAAGGTTTTGGCAACCCAAGGAAATTGAAACATTTTATAAATCTTTACTGAAAATACAGAAAATTTAAATTATCTTAGACCTGAAATAATTCAGACGGTGATTTAACCATTTGATCCGAATGTTTCCACGTGCACCATTAGTGAACTACGATCTGATAACTTTACCCCCTCCCCCAAGATTTCGGTAGTCAACAACATTGTTAGAGATGACTGGTTTACAACTATTAACAGTAGTATATATATATATATATAGCCTGCTTTATGAACAAACATACAGATAAACTTAAGGAGCAGATTTTTCAGTTTAGTCCTATTTTGTGAATTTTTCCTAATTCACTGATTTTTACGCTATTCGCTGTATATGGGTGTTTTTATTTTAGTGGTGATTATTCACTGTCTACTTGAAGTAGATTAATTGAGTATTCAGTGAGTCATTTGTTTATTTTTTCACTCAGAGTCTGCTTCTGATTTGATAAAATCAATAAAAGACTTAGACTAGTCTTTTTTCTTCAAAACAAATACTCAATTCGTCAGTTGTTTTTTACTTTTAAAATCTAATTTTCGCTTTTCACTTAACTGATATACTCCATATTTTTGAAATTATTTTAAATCGAAATGCAGTGGGTTTTAATCATAACTAACTATAGTAATTAAACTGATTGAAAATACCTTTTAATGATTTCTCCAATGAGTAGTAAATTTTATATCCAATGTAGCTGTACTTTAAATGCATTAAAATTATTGAAAGTAAAATAAGAATGCGGCTTATTCAAATCTTGCATCTGTAACAATTATGAAACTGATATCTCAAATCGTGGAAAATAGTCATGAGGACATAAGAGAAAGATATATGACTGAAGTGGCCTAGTGGATAACTCTTTGGCGTTTGAAATGATGGGAGCTGGGTTCAAGTTTCAGTGGGAAAACCATCATTCACGTGGAAAGAAAGTAAGTCCGTTTGATGAGTCACAAATAGAATAAAATGCTTATGCTTTGGATTCAACTGCTGGTCACCACCCGCTAAATTAAAGTGATATGAAACTATTTGCATACTTCATAATTCCAATATAACCATATTTCTTTCTCTTATGTTGTAGATACGGGTCATGTGAATGTAGTGGACCAATTGTTGAACGATGTAAACGAACGGAACATTAGTGGTTAAGCGCTAAACCTTTACGTTCAATCTACACCCCCTTCGCCCTAAAATTTGTACCTCTTACTGTTTTGATTAGTTAGTTAGTTGGTCATTGTCCACTCTTTTCTCTTTTAAAACTGTAGCTGATACCCCAGCTCCAGTCACCCTTATATACTGTGATGAACAAATTGAAAACACTGACGTTTTTCTCTCTAATATACTCATTTAGTGTTTTTACTCACTTTCATTAATGCAAGAAACATTGTTGTTTCCAATAAAAAGGTAAAATAAAACAAATTATAGATGGATAGACAGCTGGTAGAAAATTAAATTTTCACATGAAAGTACACCATCCATCAGTTCAGGTTAGAGAAAAAACTCTTAACAGCACAATAAGCGAGAATCTCTTTCTCTCTCTCTCTCTCTCTCTCTCTCTCTATATATATATATATATATATATATATATATATATAAGTCAATAATCACATGATGAAAAGATTCAGCCTATTAATCATGTTTGCCATTGAAAGAGGCTTTAAATTCGATTCTTACTTCTCATACAGGTGACTCAGCTGGAAGTACAGGGAACGACTCAGAATAATAACAGCTTATTTCGAGACACCATAAGCTACTGGTTCCACTATCGATATGTTATCCTGTGCTAACCTTACTAAGTGTAATATGCCTAATTAAGTATTTTTTAAATTAGTCACTACATTACCTCACATATAATTACTGATAACAAAACACAAATCAAAAGGACTCAGTTACTTAGAAATGTTTTCTAATAAGCGACATATTCAAATAAATTTTTTAAAATAAAGGTTATTTAGAGAAGAAATTTAAGAACTTATCTTGCTAGTATGGCTTAATTACAGACTCTGAGGATTTACATGTTACCAGCACAAAGGAGGAACGGAAAATGCCACCCCAGCCTGCTGGAATACAGAACCCTTAAAACAAAACTTAAAACGCCCATAGCATCCCTGGGCGGGCTAGACTGTCTATTTAGTTAATATTTAGTTGATTCAGTTTGACCTATTCGTTTTAGCCCTTCGTTTAGTTTGCTACCCTGGAAGGTATATTGCAACACATTGGAGCTACACTTAATTAGTTTTCTTCTAAGATATTACTTAGATGCTACACAGAATGTGTACAAGTTGATAGGAGGATTGTTTAAGAACTAATTTACATATGCTCTATGGATGCATAATTATTACAGCCTAAAGGAAATTATTTCTAGACATTATACAAAGCAGTTTTTCTTTCCTTGGGTCCCAAACGGAACACAGAGCTTCAATTTTTCAAGTTTTGGTAACAATGGTGTTGTTATTTTTTAAGGGGTGCGGCTGCTAGTCTCCAGCCAAACGTTACATACTTTGTGGGCTTACCAGTGGATAGTAAACTAGGTGAGGTTAAGGAGTTCGTCGTTAGCAATCGGTACCAGACCTCCCGAATTTAACAACCAACGCAGTACAAAGCATGATTTCGGTATATCTTTATTGACTCTATGATTTCATATGATAATGATAATACTGTTACTCAATGAAATGCAATTATATTCAGCAGGATAAAATTTACATTTCGGTTGTTACTACCACAGAAACTACTTTTATTTTCTTCACCAGTAATTATTATTATTGTTTCCTTGGACACGCAGTGGAACACAAAGCTTCAACAGCACATCTCCATTTCATCCTTTTCTTTAGCATCTTTTTTAACTGACTTTAACTGGCTTCACGATTGCCCATAAACTTTCATCTCCTCCATGTCAACCTACAATGCCACACTCGTCGCTTCTTGTATGGGTTCTACTCGAGCACCTGGCATGTGTCGTCACTCAACGATCAGCTCAGAGCAGGGTATTTTCAGTCCATTTCCCACATATCTGTTGGGTGGGCGATAAGTTTCTGGTTGATTCGTGGTCAGAGGTCCCAGTGACTCGCCTGTCCCTTCTGGTAATCTAATCTTCAGTGTGAATCGAAGGTGGCTATTGATGAAAGCCTGCAGATTGTTAGAAATTGTTTTGGTGATGAACCATGTCTCTGAATCATATAGAAGCACTGACATGACATTAGCGCTGAAGGTCAGGATATTGTTCCTTATGATAAGTGGAGCAGATTTCCACAATGATTTCAGAGTGATGAAGGTTTGCCCTGCCTTTCCAACCCTGGTTTTCACATATTCATGCACGTCGCCTGCAGATGAAACAGTGCTGCTAGCCAAATTGAAATTATCTAACCACCCAGGTTGCCTCAGTCTAAACAACGGAATCAGCTTAAAGTACCCCATGAGCCCGGCCTTAAGCCAGTAAAACGGCCGTTCACTGATTATGTTACTTTGATCTAGATAGCAAACACTACTGATTAATGTGAGTAGTTTCCAACCAATTATTTGTTGATTTCTGTTTATGGTATCAACCAGATAGCATACTCTAACCTTTGTATTTTCGGTTTTGCGAAGGCAGCCTTTGATAAGTTTTCCCCTTGAACTGTGTAAGTTACGAAGTGGAAATCTTATGCCATTACATCAGGAGAAACATGGTCACTTAAATCCATATTTCACGACCTTATTCTTCAGTCAAGTTATACATAACAAACTACAATTTACGGTGTTGTTGTGATCCCTGTATGACGGATAGTCTACTTGCGAAGCTTTATTGTCCTTCTAAGTAACATCTTCGGCATTAACATCAATGTGAAGCCAGCTTTCAGGTATTCTACATGGATGAAATATTTTCTGAACACGCTGTCGAGAATTATAAATAAACTATCCAGCGCTCAGAGAACGAACAACACCAAAAACATATATATGAAATACACATCCTATCTACGATTTCATAAATACGGTATTATGTACATGTGAAGATGAAACATTAATTGTTGTTTTGGTAAAGAAAAGAACAGAAGAATATTTATTATTATTATTCTCTCACCTGTTGACATATTGCTGCATAACGTGCTAATACATTAGCATTCTCATGAATAGCCAATGAACTTGGATTACGTTCTGATATTTTTAAGACACAACGCCATTTAGCGAAATGACATCCATCCTTTTTATACTGGGAACATCTTTCATATAGTCCATCTAAGCCTTGTGTACTACATTCATCATGTGTTCCTGGTAATGGGACTGTGCCTTTGTCAACTTTAATTCCCGGCACAATGCCTCTATCCTTTTAACGAAAATAAATAAAAGAGAAATTTAAGATTGATCTTGAAAATTAATTGGCCCAATTGACACAAACACTGTCTTCCTTCTATGCCAGAGACCTTAAACAGAATTCTTAATGAGACTAGAATTAAGGTGATATTTAAACAAACCAACTTACTCATAGACAAACTTTGACGGCTTAAGGATCCACCAGACCCAATTAGGAAAAATAATATTATTTACCAAATACCACATAATTACTGTGAGGTCAATTAAATAGGTCATTCTAGTAGGTAGAGGTAAATTAGATTCTCGGAACATAGGAATTTAGCCTTACATACAATGATTAGCGCTGCTAAGCAACATAGTCTAGGAAAAATTGAGCTATTGGAATGCATTCACTTGCGTGTCATCAGACAATAGCATGGGATAGGATTAAAGTAATATAGCTAGGTGGAGAGAGAGAGAGGTTAATGACCGAATCTTTGTTTACCGAATGAACACCAAACACATGTAACTGAACTGACGCAAGAAACAAGATATATATATATATATAATTATGAAATCGTGTGAATAGACTAATGTGGCTGTGAGCGATAAATTGTGTTAGAAACTTCATGCAGTTAATAACACTGTACCATTCTGAGTTAAATACCAAAATAAACATATCGAATATAGAATCATATATTCTACAACAGTACCTAAATTCTATCCTGACATAAAACAGTGAAAGCCTATTTAACAAGTTCCACTATTACAAACAATAGAAGCTAATAAACAAAAGCAATCTGCACAGTTCTTTTTCTTTAATCATATCTTCATCAATCACTTAAAATATTTTGACGTCAGATGGCTGGATGCATTCAGAAGGAGTCTTTGGCTGCATCTAGATCTCGTATCTGTCGACACCCTTCGGAGGGGTATATCTGCAACATTGAAGATTCTAGCCAGCGCCACTCAGTGCTGCAGTTAGAGGTGTTACCACTGTGCTGTTCGGGCTTACGTTTTCCAACGTTTGCCACATTTGATTGGTCAGAGTTGCGGACTTGATTGAGCGCCAACACCAAGGACGAGACATGTGACAATGGTTTCATGTTTAGAGGCCAATAAATGTAATATCTTGATGCGTATAGATTTAGTTTTGAAGTGACAGTTTCACTTATCCGATTTACGATCGATTATTAGTTGGGATTATCTCAATTTACTTCTTCATTTCTTATTATTCTTATATAATTATTAACAAATGGCAATTTGATAACAACTTGAGTACTCATCTATTTTATTTATCGGTATCCATTATGGACAATTTCGGTTTTAACTGTTTGTTGGCTACACGTTGAGAAACACATGGTAGACTAGAACTAGCTGAAATTTTAATTATTGAAAATGCTTTTAAAGCATCAATCGCATCAACACCACCTATCCTCTGTTGCTACTGAAAACTTTCACGCCTTTCATTTGCAAGTTTATTTGTTGGCATGCTTGCCTAGCAATGTGAAGATCCCGGACTTACCCTCTGTCCCACAATAGGACGAGACAGTTATTGAGTAGTGCTACTTGATTTCCACCTACTTTGGTATTATACAATCGACAGAAAATAATCCTGTGAATAATATGCGGAAGGAATCTGAGGTGGATTGAACATACGCTGAACAGACCTTCAAGTGACATCACACATGAGACCCTCAAGAGAGACCTAATGAGTCGGCCGTGGATCCGAGGATGAGATGAAGATCTTGTTGGGAGGAAAAGACAGCATGTGGGCAGTCATGGAGCGAGTTAGAAGGGATAGTAGAGAAGTGAGTGCAGTGGAGATGTACCACTGACCTCCTATTTTCTACTTAGAATGCAAAGAATGAATAATTTATGGTAATAAAAAATATTATCCAGGTATGCCTGATATTTTCTTTTCATTATGTCGATGAAATACAAATAAATGCAATAGATGTACTTTTTTGAGAATGGTAATCCTTTGGAAATTCTATTAATAATGAAACTTAATACGTCGTCTTTAAATACAATATAACTACCAAGTTTCTAGACTGACAGGATGATTTCAGGTCAGTCGAACTATTCACCTGTAGATATTTACCTTTTATCTAGGCCAGACCAACATTGGTACAGTTTTTCATTATTTTAATTTCAGTGTACTCTCCATTTCGCTTCTAGTTCAAGTATTGCTGTTTGATTTGAAAATCTGATCTTTTAGCACATTAGAGGCACTAGGCAAGAAGATGTAGTCCTTGATTTCGTGTTTGTTAGCACTCGTCAGCAACACGTATGCACAACATTAAAAAATCACAGAGAGGAGGTTAGTTTCCACTTAACTAAAAGTGGACCATTGATTTAAGCGGTAACCACACACTTCATATCTGCGAATCAGACAGTTAATTGAAAAAGAAACACCAGACAAAAAACGTGACATCCGATCGATACTCAGCCATATCATCTAAATTTCTTAATCATCGGTTTCTGTGCATGCCAGTCGGGTGACCAACGTACTCCTATAATATGACATATTCTTTATGGGATGGATAACACACCTTTCTTTCAAAATTACGCGCCAACATAACACATTAATTCAGACGATAACAATCATCGATGCATATTTGTTCAGTTTAACGTAATGTGAAGAGAATCAAATTTCAGACATATAAATATATATTTATAGGTTTGTGAATAGTCAACTTTTAAAAATGTCGAGATTTTGAAATGTTATTCTTATCGTGATGAAACTTTACAAAAATTTCTCCTTACAAGTTAACGTAGTGCATAAAAAAATTCTTTATTCAAGTCTAGTTCATTAAAAGCAGACAATCATTGTAACATGTCATTTGTCTCCAAAGATTGTAACAGGAAATAAATCCAGTTATAATAATAGTAACCACTATAAACGTTGAATCTAAACTATTGAATATTGGCCTAGCGTGTCAGTGTTACTATCTAACTAGAAGTTAAAATGTAACGTGTTTAACAGTGATAAGAGACAGAATCTAAAAAATTTGAATAAATTGCTCAAGATCCTAACAAATAACATTATCTGCGACGGCGGGCCGTAGGTTCCAGTCCCCTAGACAACTGTGTAATATCATTATCCCTGACACAATAAGTGTGGCTCGTATCCTAGTGTATGAAGTATCTGTTGTACTGAGTGCGCACCAAGTGTATTTACATCAACTAATGGACTGACTATTGATTATATCTCAGCAAGCAGACAAAAGTCTTATTTGATATTTGAGAACTTGCGTCATCTTTAGCAAAGACATGATATTCGGCTATTAGTCAAAAGACGTGTTCACTACACAACAATTCGCTTCATTCTTCTTTAAGGCTATGAGATATGACAATTAGAAATGAAAGATAAAAGGCCAGCCATCTTTGACTAAACGTACCTTCAGTCTATCTCTCATGATAGGTAGTATTATATGGCCACTAGTAATTAAGTTAGACATACAGCAGTGAGTAAGGAGGGGAAGTCATTTGATGAAATCATGGATCTGCATGGATTGAGATGGCTAAGACGTGTGTTTTTCCTGCCTAGCTATCATCTTCCTTCTCTAGCAGTGTTTTCTGACGCAGATCTGGGTCGGAAAAGAGCTAATGATGATCAAACCAAGACATGGCATCAACGCCTGAAGTCTTTGACGGTCGGTTTGTGTAACAAAGGCAGATGTAGGCAATCAGGCTGAGATCCCCGAAGGTCTAAGAACCAGTTGTTAGTTAGCGTTGATGATCCGGTTCAAAGCCGTGATAAATCACTAAAATTCACTTACTGTGTTATGAGTTTCCAGATTCGTTAGATTCTTATTATTCTCCATGTAAGTATTTTTTGTGGCAAACTTGTGTTTTACTATAGTTTCCTTGTCATTTTTTTACCTTTGCGTTTGTTTTATAAAGGGTCTCAACTTGATCTGCGGTATTTTTGTGCAAGGTACTATTTTGAAAATTCAAGTACAGTTTAGATAGACAATACCGAATCTGCTCCATATTTTGAAGAATGATCATTTACAGTTGATCTATTTTACACTCACTGAGGAGGCCGTCGGGTGACATCGCGTGTCAGGCCCTCGAGTGGAACCCGAAAGGGAAGCGGCGAGTGGGACGTCCAAGAGTGACATGGAGGAGATCGTGTGAGGAGGAGATGAAACAGTATGGAATAACATGGATGCAAGTGAAAAGTACAGCAGAAGACAGAAGCAATTGGAGACGTGCAGTTGAAGCCCTATGTTCCACTAGCAACCCAAGGGAACAATAATACAATGATATAATTTTAGACTAATAATTTTTATGATAATTCACATTTCTACTTCCTATAAAAGTCTAATGTATTTTGAATCACACACTCCTCATTCACATCAGTTGGAAATAAAAAGGTTTTAAATTAAAAAAAACATAGATCAGGACAGAAAAACACAGGAATGTAGAAGTTTAAGTTAACACACACACTAAAACAGGACTAATACAATCTGTTTCAAGGACGCAGTGAGTTTTGAACCACATTTTTATCACACGTTCAGAACTCGAAACATGAATCGGAAACCCACGTGCATGACTCAAAATACAAATACCTGAGAGTATCAAAATGATCGAAATTTCTATTTTATGGATTGATTACCTTTGGGTACATTTTATAGCTGTCAATGTCCAATATACTGTTCTTGAGATTTACTGTTTTACTGCAGACAAAGGTATAATGATGAGTTCTGTTTTTAGCACTACTCGTGTGGTTTACTATTGTTTCATGCATTCTTATGACATTGATCTGAACAAGATATCCTGTTTGTGCTTAAAGTTCAGATATTAATGTTCTGACTCCTGAAAGAAGTTCTATATTCAACGTTCTACGATAAAAGTCAATTTTACGGTAAGCATGCAACTGATGGTGAGACCAGTTGGGATACTCTTAGTCTGACAGATGATATTTGACCTCTGACTGTAATTGAGTGTAGAACTTTGCACAGAAGTGCATTAGTTCAAGCTGTCATACTCCATGTAACACAAAAACGTACAGAAAAAGAAACAAATAAAATTTTAAAAAACAAAGGAAATATAATATGAACGGAAATGTGCGGAAGAAAGATTACTTACATGGAGAGACATTAGGATTTAGTAGATATTGAAGATTACAGAGACTGAATGCATTTGCGCCACTAAGAACAGCTTTATGCCATTTCAGCAGCATTCTGAAGCCATTGGTTCTCTGAATCTCGAGGACGCTAACCGGACAGTTTGAACCTTCCTACGTAGCTCAGGCTAACTGTCAAAGACTTCACATATTGATTCTGGGATTTGATTCGACACTTTTCCAACTTAATCCCGTATCAGTTAAAATTGTTCGCTGAGGAGGGTGATGGTTTGAAATCCTAGCTACCTTAATCGACGTGGCTTCACAACCACATTGATTGACTTTCCCTTTATAATTAACACCCAGCCCATAACCTCATTATAGATAATCATAGCGTACAACTTAACATGGTAGGTAGAATGCAAACACCTGTGGTCATAGAGAGCTGACCTCTTCAGATCTTTCAATTCCAGTGACCATATCACACAGCCATCATGGAGTACAGAGCAAACTGCTGTGCAATGCACACGTCCTATGAGTGATAGCGTGGTATCACACCTAGGTGAAAGATGATATTAGCTGGCAAATGCCACACGAGCCTTTTGTTAATTTTGTCAGCGATCAGTCCATTAGGATTAATGCAAAGTCTCAGACAGATGAAGCTGTTAAAATGCTCAATCAGTTCACTTTCTCTTAATACTCGGAGTTGAATTAGACAAGTCCTAGAGCGTCATCTTACATTTCACACGACGAATTGAACATTCCTGCCGAAAGTATTCATGATTCTATCAGAGTCTTCACTTAAAAGGACAATATTAATCCGTATACTCTGAGTTCACAAAACTGTTCCCTGGTAAAGAGTCAAACCCTAAGTCTTTGAAGTCAGTTAGGGTCTATTCCATTAGTACATCTATGATTAAATCAAACAAAGATGGTTTAAGAGAAAGAGCGAACAGGTTTAAGCAGCGGCAGGATTCAAACCCAGGGCCTTCCAATTTCTAGTTTTGCACTCAAGCAACTTATCTACGAGACCGAACTGCTAACCAGGCCATTATTTAACTGGGTAAAGTCCAGCAGCGGAGATGTGACTCATTAGCTCAAGCACTTGGTTTTCATCCTCTGGGTCAGGTTTTCGATTCCCATTCCATCCTGGGAAACTTAGTAGTACCATCAGCCCTATGTGGCTCTTCATCTGGTACATGAAAAATCCACCCTGGGTAAATGAATTCAAATAAATACCCAGCAGTAAATGATACGTTACTGTCAGCTGATCACTAAAGTAACTACCTGGATAGGTTAGTCCAAAAACAGGTTTAGTGTCTCTATGCGAGAAGCCTATTTTATGACAAGTTTGCAACTGGAAATGTATGTGAGCATGAACTAAATGCAATTTTTTCTTTATTCCTTTACTTTCCCAGTGGAACATAGGACTACATGGTACAGCTTTGAAGTTTCGGTAGCAGTAGTGTTTATTTTTACAGGATGGGGTTGCTGGCCTCGTGCCCAGCCTTCTCTCTTCACCAGTCTTGTTACTGGCTTAGCTAGGTAAAGGAGTGTGTCGGCCGAGGATCGAACCCCGAACCACCTACGTGGTTGGTGAGCATTCTACCGCTCTGCCACCGACACACAACTAAATGCAATAGTTGTTGCATATGTGGTTAATTAATTTCAAATATGATCAGAACATAAAACTTAGCACACCCTTTAGATCTTACTACTCACTTGAAGAAGTCTGATAAGTGGAAATCCATCGTCAGCCTTTTGATAAAGTGTTTCATGATATAAAATAACTCCAGAAATATTTTTTGCTAGGGCTGGGTCAGTAGAAAATAGAAGTTGTCGATAAACACGTCGATTCTCCTCTGTATTTTCAAGGTTAATTGTTTTGAATCGTTTTCCCAAACTAGCTAGTATAATAATTGGAATTCAACGCACAAATATTCTGTTTTTGTGTGATATACTTACGGACACTTTCATCAGCTGCAAGTATACCTTTCCCTGGGGCTACTAATGCATTTGCAATATCTCTTAATTCCTTCTGTTTCCCTTCACAAAGGTATTCAGCAAATTTAGGCGTTGTATGACACATTTGCGATTTGCACAAATTATGACAGAAGAATTTAAACAGATCAATTGACCAACCATTATATTGATTTTGACTCAACAACACTACGTATTCGTCACGTGATCATATTCGGAAAAAAAGATAATGATAATTAATTTTACTTGAATAGTGCAGAGTAGAAGTACATTGAATGTCACTTTTTGGTGCTAATAATGACGATGACCTGAATTTAGGACTTATTTAACCTCAGTAATCATTGCTATCAGTCTGAAAGAACTAAAATTACGTAGTAATAAGAGGAAGGAATAGTTCTCACATTCCATAGTAATTTAATCCAGCTTGTGACCAATGAGGTACAGCAGGGTGGATGTGACGACAAATACTCACCGATGACATTGGCTAGTGGTTGCGCTATATCGTGAATTGGCAGAGGTTGGAATTCATGCACTGGTCATTGGATCAGTTCCCAGGGGCTTAATGGTCAACAAGCCGCCTCGTAACCAGAAAGTCTTGAGTTCGAACCTCATTGGGAGCGTACTGATGAAGAATCCCAAGCTAGGACGAAACAGCTATCGAGTACTCCCAGACCTTCTAATGGTTCTCTAACCGATGTCAGCTCATGATGAGATCCTGTAATTAATCCAGCTTCTTGTACATCATTCAATTAATTCACTTGTGCTTTTTTCCCATAAATGCGCACTCACAAGGCAATATTTAGACACTTCAGAAAAAAATCCACAATGCATTACACTGGTCAGGCTGACAGACATGAGAAATGACACGTTTGCGTGGTTGTCTAACCTTCAAGAGCGAGAAGACTCTAGGAGATCAGGTTTTCGGGAATGACTGTGTCTCATGTCGCACAAACTCAATGATATACAAAAGAAAAATCAACAAGTTGACGGAACAGGCAGAGGAAGAAAGAAATTCAAGGGAACACAGAGAAGACAGAGGTGATGAACATACTCGACTGACAAAATTAAGCACCATCAAAGTGAGAAATCTGAAGGAGGTCATATCCTTAACCTACCTGATCGTCTCAACTTCACGTGGCAGGGATGAGGATGTCAAAGCCAGCCAAGATCAGAAAATAAGGATAGCTCCCCATTGCTCTAAAATCATTGTGAAGATCCGCAGCGCTCAGAACAAGATCCGAATTCTCAAAACTAATGTCAAGTCATTGCTTCTATTTGGTTTAGAGACTTGGAGTGTTTGTCACGGAGAACATTTGCAACAGACTGTAGATTTTGATCAACAGCTGTTGGCCAGAAAAGATAAGCAGGCAACAAGAAACTCTAGCAGCAAATCAGCCAACAACCTATTGCCCAACTAACGAATATGCAGAGGGAAATGGAGATGGATATACGCTGAGGAAACTTCCACAGCACACCACACGCTCTAGTGAAACTCGAATCGAAAGTGATGAGTTTGGTACGCATCCAAGTATGACAATGTGAAGGGGAAATCAAGTCGAGTCTGCTCAAAAGTGATGATGGGTATCCGAGTACAATAAATATGTGCCGTTAAGGCCTTTTTTCTACTCAGAACGCATAGAACGAATAGTACAAAGATAAATCCTGGTTAAGAATTAAATCTTTTCAATAGTATGACTAATCAGTGAGTGGACTTTGCTTTTAGCAAAAAGCAAAGTTCTCAGCAAAGATAAGCAGATTGGAAAGTATGTAAATTGTAGCTGGTTGTTTAGTATGCAGTATATCTATTCACTAAGTAGTTTGACGTGTCATTTCAGCATGTAGGACTATTGGTCACTTTTTTTTTCCTTCCCGTTCCCCAGTGGAACATAGGGCTTCAAGCTAGTGGCTTGAAGTTTCTGTAGCAGTGTTTATTTTACAGGATGGGGTTGCTAGTCTCATGCCCAACCTTTCCTCTTCACCAGCATTATTTCTGGCTTAGCGAGGTAAAGGAGTGCGTCGGCTGGGGATCGAATCCGGACCATATGCATGGTCGGCGAGCGTCTTAACCGCTATACCACCGACGCACTAGGTCACTAGGCAAGCTTAAATTGGTTAACGAAACACATACCATCAAAATATGACCACACAGACCGTGAGCAGCTATCGGTTCTCAACTCAAACAGCCAACTGGATTTTAATGAAGTTGGTAGTGAGTCACACCTATTGTATGGAGGCTAGTGATAGTATCTGGATGTCTAAATCTCATTAGGTGGAGCAGAGTGTAAACTGAGTCATAACCCCATAAGCATGGATTCCTCTTCAGTTATTAGTTTTTTATCTACTTAAGCTTTTATCACTGCTATTCTAGTTTGTCTCGATTATTTTGCTTTATTTAAATTATTTAACGATTCAAGCGAATATTTATGGAGGTTATTACTTTAGTGTTCATCTGTTTGTTTGGTTGAATCTAAGAAGAGGGTTGCCTTTTGTGTTGATGAAAACCCCTATCTCAAAAACTGATGACTTAATATTATTAATATGAAATAATTTAAAAATCAATGACTACGTGTCCCCAGAATGAACTCAAGGCGTGGTTCCAAAGCATAACTTATAACCTTAAGGTAACTACTACCAGTGACTGGCTAAAGAAAAATGAGCTTTGGACTGATTGTAGCATATCATCATGCTGGCTTTTAGATTGATTTTAATGAGGACGCACTCCCCCCACCATCATATACTAGCAGTAATAATATTATAGAGTAACCTACATCGAAATTATATATATATACATGCACTGCTTGCCTATATGAAATGTGACATGTTTGCCAACCACGCACGTGGTTTGGGGTTCAATTCCCAGCGGGAGCATTCCTAAACCTCACCTAGCAAGCGCATTAAAGAGAGTGAGGCTCGCAACCTCACTTCACGAAGAAACGAACAATACCAACCCTAATGGAACTTCAAGGCGTCAAACCTAAAGCCTTATGTTCCATTCGGAAAGCAAAAGAATGAGAAAGTTACTTATATTCTGATCGTTTCTATTTGACATATTAAGAATATAGAAAGATGAAAGATACAAGTCATCGAGCTTTACGCGGATTACATGTATTGAGTTAATGATACCAGTTGACTGCTCAAAGCATGGTATGTATTGGAGGCGAGGGGGGGATGCACCTCAATGAGGACCAAATGATTAAACATCGTAAATGTGTTGTCACAAGAAAGAATAAATTTTCTTGTCATAAAATCAGTTTTTTCTCCATTTACTTTAGTTTCAATAAAGTCTAATAGGTTACAAACAAACAGGCAGACAACAGAAAACTAGATACAGAATAAGAAAATAGGGGAGAAGGAATCCAGTCAATACAATACAGGAAGTAAAATAGAGTAAACAAAGATACCTAGGTATATAAGTAATACATGCTGTTTTTTTGTACAAGATTACGTAAGTATCTTACAGATGGAATAATTCATTACTATTATTACTCACATTAGAAAACTATCTGACATAGAAAAAGGCAATAAATAGAATTAGGTAGTATCTACTTATTTAGGGTAAGATAGAGGAATGTTTGAAGACAAATGTTATACACACAACACACTCAAAGTTATTCTATACAACAAACTTGTAATCTGTTAAAAACACCCTTATGACTGTGTGTTTCTTCAAAAAACAGTGTTATTCTCCAAAACTTCGACTGCTGTCCGGTCTTGTTGAAACGTCATGTGAACCATTTTGAATAATATTATCATTATTACTTGTATCGATTTGTGTGAGCATGGGTTTGACATGATTGAACCAAGGATCTTCTAAGCAGTCAACGGCTGAAGGGCGATCTCTGGAAATATGGGAAAATAATAACCAGCTATGAAGAACACGCTTCCTACATAAAATGAAAAAACTGAGAAATACTTGCCAAGCCATAGTTTAGCCTCTGGTTACATAAAGTTGGCCGAATATTCATTTTCGAGTGTCAGTTTGCATAGATTCGATTGATTTTAAGTTTACCCATGAACTGACTTCAGTTCAGAACCACTGAAAACCAGGGAGTACTGAACAGCTGCTATGTCCTAGTTCGTGGCTCTTCAGCAGTACGCACCAATGACACCACCAGGGATAGGACCACGGCCTTCAGTTTATGAGACGAGTTGGTTAACCATTTAGCCAAAGGGGTTTTAATCCAACAGCCTATGAGTTCTAATTTCTGTCAATTTCGCGAAATAGCGCTGCCACCAACCAAGAGTAAAATGCAGTGACTGCTGATATCGTAACGTATAGACTAAAATCGTATAACAAAAGCTTGCCGACAGATTGAAGGATCCAGATACCTTATCCAATTATATGGTTTCCATGTATGATTTTACATGAATTATTTTGAAGACAATCCCAAACAGACGTGGAAACCAGTGATAGAATCCTTGAAATGTAGGAATTACTGAGTCGGTGACTGAATAGTTATGGTTTCAGTATGTTACGAGACATGCGACTGGTTAAGATTTCGGTCGACACATCATGACAATCCCACAAAATCATATCTGTGATTTCATATTTGTGGTTTAGCTGATTCTACACATCACAATTTCTAACCATTATGTGGAGACTTTTGAGGAGCCCCGTATTATGACTATTCGTTATCCAATATTACTTTATTGGATGTAAATTATCCACGTGAATAGCTACAAAATCTGCATAATTAGCACGATTTCCAACTAAATTTTCTACGCTACCTGTAGATTTGACAATGTCAAGATACTTAGGCATTTTCATTTCGTTTGATAAAGTTTTACGACGTTTAACTGTCAACTGTTAAATGATAACATATAATGCCACTTAAGGGTACATTTTCAATTTCCAAAACACTAAATTAAACAACTTAGTATTATTGATACATATAAGTAGTGCATAAATTATATTCTGTTACTTTTTTTTTGATTTTTTTTTTGATTTACAGCTTGATTCCACACCGTATTTTCAGTACAAGTGTGGAATTTTCAGCATGGATATCGGTGGCCCAAATTCAGGCCGACCATAGATATCGGGTGTGCGCCGGCAGGGGATCGAACCCCGGACCATGTGCATGGTCGGCGAGAGTCCTAACCACTGTGCCA